TCTCTCTCTCTCTCTCTCTCTAGGAAGCTCCCATTGCATAGTCATTAGTCGGACCTTACATGCAGAAGCAGTTTCCGTAGTCGCCGTTTGCATGCTCCTGTTCGAGCATGATGCCTGGCAGAATGCAAAGGCCGGTCGGATTTGTAGCACAAGCAAATGTTCTTTGCATGTCGAGCCTTCATTTCAAAGACCTTCGTTCGAGCGCACAACCTCTCCAAGACGTTGCCAGGCTGGAGCCGGGCACATAGCTCCTGCTTAAAGCGACCAGCTTCCCGATTACACGGAGTCGCACCGTTTTCGATACTGATCGGACGTTTCACGTTCCGAAGCGTTCAGCGGAATTCAAACCCCAGGCCGTGTCACGTCGCCAGGACGCTTGAAGAACGGTTCTTCGTGTCTTGAACAATGTTTGCTTGAATGCACCCCTGCTACGTACATTAAGGCAGTCGCCAGCTGTGGGGATGCGAGTAGTGCCTCCTGTCAGGCACTTACCTAGATCTCTCTTTGACACTGTGCTGGCTGCCGGTCAGGAAACGACGTCCGCGCTTGGGTGCTCAAGTCCTCATTGCAGACTATGTACAAGCGCTAGTCATGATCGTCATGCTAGCTCCAACTCTGACACCTATACCCCAAACGATGAACGCCACCACGGAACATCATATCTCCAATCATACAATCCCATTTGAGAAGCACTTCCTGACAGCGAGCTCATCTTACACTTCCTTACCGAGATCGTGCTTCTGGGTGCCTTGCGGTAGTTCAAAGCCTGATGGTGCCCTGCTGGTAGCACCCGCATGTCTCATGGATGTGGCACCTGAACTCATCGAATCTTGTTTGGCACTCTAGCCACTGTTTCTAAGGGCCGTGGTGGCAGCCGAGAGAATGTTCGGCACAGATGTATGAAGTTTCCTGCAACCCAGACCCAAGGAGCAGGAGGCGTCCGGGAGCATATGCCCGCTCTTACAAGACACAGACTCCCGGGAGTCATGGTTGGATCAAGGCGGCCATGGTGCCCTGGGACGGCGGGTATGTGTGGGCATGTAATCCTTTTCTCTGCACTCAAGGCATGGAAAACCAGCGTTGCTGGCATGGGAGACTGGTCTGCACTGGCTGCAATGCTCGGAGCTGGCGAGCCCCCGAAGTTGCCAAGGGCCAGAGGCTCCAACAGTCCTGAGCCGGAGGCAATGATCTGCGTGCATACTGTGCTCAGCTCTGTGAGGCCTACCCGACTTCACATCTGCACCAAGGTTGCGCGAACCCGCGATCGAGTGTTCTGCAAAGCCCGGGTCAGCAGCTTGCCTCAGTAAGGGGGCCTAATTGACACGGCACATTACGTCATTACGTGATGATTTGGGGATGTTCGAGCCCACTACCAGCCGAAAGAAACCGGGGATTTGAAGAGACAGCGCATCTTATTGGAAGCGTCACGCACGCACTCTGGGCCCTAGATACGCGGAATCCGGGCAAGCTTGGGATGATGCGGGAACTTCTGGGGCGAGTATCCTGCCGGAGGTGTGACCCACGTGGATGTAAAGACTGGCAAATTCCAAGCGCCTTGAGCAGCAAGCATCATAGGGCGTAGCGAAAGTTCATGAGCGTTTCTAACACCACAGGCATGTGCACTTCTTTGCAGCCCATGTACAAAGTACCCACAGCCACCAGTCAGCGAGGTTCGCATGCTCTGCCAGTGGGCCTTCCGGACTGCCAGTCCAAAGAATGCCACTTGACCCGAGAGGATTTCGCTGCGAAGGCAGAAGCCAGCAGGCAGAGGCAGAACTAAGGACACGGAGATTAGCTATCGAGGCGTTCCGGGCATCCGAGTCCCAGGCTGGAAGCTGGAATCTGCTGGAGCCAGGGCTGCCCCATCTTCCAGGTCTCCAGACGGAGGTTCAGGAGTCCCGTGTTTGGAAAGACTTAAACGACACGGAAAGTAGCAGCAAGATTCTTGGCTTCATCAGGTGTCCATTCAGACTTTGGCTCAGGGCATGAGGCATTTTCGTGCCAGGCTTTGTTTCTTTAACGTTTGTGCGGAGCTTTGCACCCCGTCAGAAGCCACAACCCAAGGAATAGAACCATCTTCTGGCGTGGCAGCTCCATTTTCTGGATGTGTTTTGACTGAGCATTAAGTTCGAGTCGTTGCCCCGATTATGTGAGGCTCCCGTCAGATATGAAGAGTGCAGAGTGACAGCAGTTGGCGCATTGTGCCTTGCGCAGTAACCACGCTAAGGACTGGGTTCAAGAAGTACCCCGTCAGCGATTTTCCGTTCGACAGACATGTCATCTGCTTGCCTACATCTCAGTCTTCCCGGATCAGTATTGGTTGTGGTAACTCTGCTGCTTGGACCAAGACACCGGCTGTCGAATAAGGCAGCAAATAGACTTTGTGTGGCGAGTCCACCGTGACGATGACACCTTCTACGATTCGATGTTGCATGTCGGCAAGCTGCGGTCTGGTTTCACAACACGGTTTGCTATCGTGCACGATGACCGGCTCAGCATCGCTGACATAAGGAAGGTCGCCTGGTCTCGTGACTGCACCTTGATTCTCACGTGCTCGGACAGCGCGCATGTTGACACTACTGCCAAGTCTGAAGCTGAATACCAGGCTGGACGTTGAGACATCATCTGTCTTGGCAGACCCTTTGCCGGCATGTTTTTTTGTCAATGGGATGCCACGATAAGACAAAGAAACCTGGACAGCCATTTTCCGAGTATAGTCTTTAGTGGGTGTCCTACGAGGAGTGGTCTCCTCTTCCTGCCACTGTGCAGTCTTGCGATGATCCAGACAAGCCTGCGACAACCGGGGACAAGCTGGCACCTCCCGACAGCAGAGGCGGCCTCGATATGTTGGCACAGGGTTGGGGCCTCCGGAGCTGAGCCGTGTTTCAGGTGCCAATCTGCCCTTCGCGTCAAAGTTTCAAATTCGCCTGCGGATCGAGCGCAAGCACGGCTTTTATGCACCGAAGCTGCATCTCAGCATTTCTCTTAATCAAACATCTCCAGTTGCCAGTCGGAAGCCGACCTTCTCCAGCCACAGTGACAATACGAGTTCACATGCAGAAGAACGCAAGAAACGAACCACACCATCTAGCCGCACAGCCAAGGTTCGGCAAATCTTGGTGATCTCAACATTGCCGCTGGTCCTGCATTGCTGCAGCTGCTCCACTGACCTCACAGGTCTTGCCGGAAGCTGTGTCTTGAGCTCATCATGCCTGCAGCGTGGGCATCGAGACGAACTGAGGATCACCTTGAGCTCTTGCTCTCCATTGGCGATGCCCCCGACAGAGGAGACGGGGCGAAATCTGAATTTGATCTTTTGACGTGGTTTGTTTCGGAGGACCACATGGGCGACCGCCTCTCCGTGTATGGTGGAGGAGTAGGGCTTGCTAGCTCTGAAGCGGCACGCTTTGCGCAACATGGCGGAGCCAGAAGCTCGTCATCAAGCAGGGGCATGCATAGCTGTGCCCGAGAGGATTACTGACTCTGGTCGCCTTCAAATATGGTGCCTTCGACAGCACGAACATGTGCCCTGGGAATGAAGATTTACACTCTCAGTGATGCTTGGCTCCCTGCCGATGCTGGTGACATGGGAGCCAAAAGGTAAAGACGGCAAAGACGAGTTCAAAGGGAAACTTTCCTTACCTCTTGGCCTAGCCGGGCCTACCTAGCCTTCGAACATGTTGGTTTCAGCTCTCGGAGGGACCAAAGCAAGGACTTACAGGCTCTTGTGATCCCCAGTGTCCAGAATTCGGAGCTCTTGAAAACCACGAACGCTTTGCACACCTGGTGCAGCCTTAAAGCAAACCAGAACCGCGGGCTTCCAACATTGGAGAATGCAGCCAGTCCTACGCGGCCGACACATTGGATGCGTCTGCTATCGCCTGGCAGGCATCATGGATCATTTGCCAAGCGTTCCGTACTCCACATTCACCGTATCCTGGCCTGCATCGATACCAACTGGCACAGTGGGGACCACTAGCTCCCGCCCAGG